ACTTGTTTACTTGCTTCCTTGCCTTATAAATTCTTCTTAGTTGCCAGTACAAACTACAGCCATGATCGAGACTGCAACACAGGTACAGCACCATTGTCAGGATTCTGAAGGAGTTCGTCCAGCTCCCTCTGGCATTGGTTTACCACGGCTGCACGATTCAGGGTTCGGGGTTAAAGAGTTTTAATCTCGGTTTGTTTCATGCTGTCCTTACCCTATATACCCTAAACCCTTACAGAAGTTTGATGTCGGGTTTCAGGTTCAGGGCTGTCTCGGGGTTTTGAATTTCCGGCCTCGGGTTTAGGGTCTCTTAGAAACGGGGGAGCCCGAGGTTAGCCCACCTGCACGTAGGCTGTGGCTTTACAAGGAACGCTGCTGCCCTCATATACCTGCACCACTTGCAGCTGCCGCCCTCATGCAAATACACTTTAGATCAACAACAGCAAAAGAGCACAAGTCAGAGCAGTCGTCAAGAGCCAAAAATGCTGAGGGCTCACATGTTCAGCCTTTTCGGCTACTGTATGTAGTCGTCGCAAAAATGCTAGAACCTCATAGAAGCCACTCTTGCAAACTCAACTGTAAGCCCCTTTTACAGCGACAGTCCACGTCGTAATAGTATCCCTGTCTGCACAACTCTACAGAAAAATCCAGAACCCTCCTCTAATCTTCAACACCCCTACATTGGTGGTTTAGGGTTTATAGGCCAGTAGAAAAAGGCTTCAGCATGGCATGTGGCAACTTGGGGCTGGCGGAAGCATTGCTCATGGGGTTCGCGATAGTAGTTCGAGATTTAGTGGTTCAGGGTTTACAGTAAGTGTAGCCAATGCTTTCATTTTATCTGTTTGGGAGGGGTGCCACTCTGGATGCACGCTGAGACATGGGCAGCACATAACTCTGGGTCCAGGCGTTGTAGCTTCGCGAGGCGTGCAAGACGGCTGGCACTTTGCTTGTTAACACCAGCCCCGAGCCTCAACTAAAGCCCTGAGTTTTGATTCAACTTCAAGTCCCGGAGCCCCAAATTACTAAACCAAACCCCAATCCCTAACCTTAAACCTGAAAGTCTAAACTCTAAACCCCAAACCCGTAACAACGGCGGGTATGGAGGCAATAACGGCCAGGTATATCGACGAGTACGGTGATGTGAAAGCGCTCCAAGCGCGCTTCCCGGGCGGAAAGTTCAAACCTATTCAAAGCAAACCGGCATCTGAGCTCTGAAAGGGTTTAACAACTGGGTTCAGGGTGTACCTCAACCCCAAAAAGCAAGTTAAATACTGGCCCAATACCTATAAAAGGCTATTATTCTACATACTTTTGGGGTACAGGTAGGTATAAGGCTCAGGTGCTCTAGAAGGGGTGAGAAACCTTACGAGCAGCTGTTGCCAAGGCTTAGAAGGCGGTTTATTTTCGCGCTCACACGCGCACAAGGCAGGCAAGGCTCCACACAGTCCAGGTTTGCTTAAGATGTAGAGTCCAAGGATACCTGTCAGGGAGTGGATCAATATTTTGTAAGCGCGGTCAGGTCTCTCAAGCCCTACACAGCGCAAATCCTTTACCGCGTCGACCTTTATGATTTAGCCCTTTGACGAAATCTTCAACCCCGAACCCTAAATCGCAAAAATCAAGTGGAAACACGAACTGCTTGATTGGATTTAGCTTTGTGCGTTCGCATGGCGCTAAGCTTTAGCGGTTGAACTGCCGGGCACCTTTCAGTGCGCGTTGGCTTGCATGTGCAGCATATGCAGAATTTGTTCATCATCGGTAGCCTTGACCCCCAAACCCCAAAGTGTTGCTCTTCTAACGAGATTTCGGGTTTGCCTCTGACAGCAACAACTCTTCAGATGCCGGAGCTTCACAGCGGCACCAGGCTCGGGGCGAAAGCTGCCATAATATAGGAGTCATGATCATGGAAAAATATATTTATTGGTCCGAGACGGGCTCCTTGCGATAATTTTACGAAAGAATTACCCCAAACCTTGGTCGAATTGACGCTCGGCCGCCTTCGCCTGTTTACCGGGTTCGCTCTAGGTGCAGCTGCGATGCACTGTCTGTGTCCTGGACTTCTTGATGCCCGAAGAAGCATTGCAAATCCGGCTAGTTCGCATCCTGCAACCCTAGACCCTTCGGGTACGTGCCTCGTCTCTGTTCCGAGTTGCGAAAGCCAAAAGTCTTGCGCCGTAGTGTAGACAGAGCGGGTGCGTGTGTTCTTTGCATGCACCACGCAACGTTCGTTGAGCTTTCGAGGTTTTGTATTTTGAGTCTCTGCTTCGGAAATGAAGATGAAATCGAACTTCGTAGATCATGTTCTTCACAGCAGACATGTCCAACAAGCTTGCATTCATTGTGGAAACTCGCATCTTGAACATCGGATGCTAAATCCTATAAGTAGGACCTGAACCAAGGCCCTAAATCCCAAGGCGCGTTACTGCAATGAAAAGTCGGTTTGAAAACCCATGCGGGTAAAGTCTCACTGCTGAGATGCTCAGCAGCGCCCTGGCGAACAGAATTCCAACTCAATTTGCCGTCTATCTCGTCTTCCTTGCCCAAAAAAAATCCTAAACCCGAAACGCTAAAAGCCCCCTAACCCCTCATCCCTAAACCCAAAGACCCTAAATCCTAAACCCTAAACCTTAAAACCCTAAACTCTGAATCCTTATGGTCGCCCTGCCGGCGCTAGGATCCCACGACAAACTACACTCCTTTCCTTTGACTGTTACACTTTGGGTACCTCAACCTACCAAAACCTAACTGTTTGTAGGGTCCCTGTAAAGTCCACATGAGGATGTATAGTAAGAACCTACCCAAAAGTAGGTTATGGTAGTTTAAGGTAGTCGGAACAAGCGGCCGTAGCGACATCATTGTAGCAAGACAACAAGAAGAAAGCTCATTACATCATCATCATCATCATCAGCCGAGAACGGTTGCTGTCACGTGGACCGGACGTCAGAAGGTCCAGGAGCAGGGAGACAAGTATATCTGTTTCGTGTGTTGCATATGATGGGGACTAGCATGGTTTAGCACCCAGGCCTCGCTGCACCCTGAACCACGAACAACATATCTTGCGGCCTGTGCCCGTCCCGACTTTGCCAGGGCGCGCGGGTTAGCAGAGTTTGAGCTTTCCATGTGCTTGCGTTTGCGAAAGAGCGCCGAAGGGTTGAATTCGTTTCGCGGAAGCTCCGATGAATCTGGTGCTTGTTACGAGGATAGGGCAAAGGGTTTTGGGTTTAGGGTTGTGTCTTCCCGGACGTTTGGGGTATCGACGCAGTGGCGCTTTGGTTTTCACGCCAGCACTGGCCCATCCAAAAGCACAGCCCCCGGATATTATTTTATCTTAGCCCACCGCCGAAGCCCTCAACCCGAACGCCCGCGAACCCCTCTAGCCTTCTAGGGTCGTACTTTGGGTTTTATACTGCAGGGCTTCAAGGGATTAAGGTTAGAAGGTTTCAGGGTTTGGGGTTTGAGGGTAAAGTGCCAGTCCACGGGTTGGATCTTTAGACGGACAGAGAACCAGCTCTTAAATCACAACTTCCTCCATGCTTGTATCGCTAACTCCTCTGAGGGCTTTGGGATATGAGCTTGCCCTGATATAACTCCTACTGTGCACGACAAGCCCCGAAACTAAATGAGCCCCAAAGCCGCTAGCCTTACATTCCTTGACCCGAGCCCTAAAGAAACCCTTGTTGTGTAGAACCCCTGTAAAGAAACTTTCTGGAAGCCGTAGCAAACCTGCCGAGGACTGGCGCGAGAGAATCCGGGAACGCCGGCTGCGCACTAGCGAGGCGGAGGAGAGGGCGGCGAGGGTTCGGGGTTTAGGGTGAGCTTTTCGAACTAAACTCACGCGGGTATGAGTCTGCTTACGCCTAGGCTTCCGTTTTGCCGGTGACTTACTCCTTATCGGGTCTCAGACGATACCCTAATCTAGGCAAGTAGACACTGGCTTCGGATGTGGTGTTGATTGCTGAGGGTTCACCAGACACCAGACATGGATATAATTTGCAATGGCGGTTTGGATAGGATCACGTCGCCCGCCACGAACACGATTCGTCGAATCTGAGATCTGCAACCGATGAACCTTGCCACGGGATAAGGCGCCGATGATCACAAAAGAAAAGCCCATGGACGTCGATATGCAACGACTCACTGAGCAGGCGCGTACATACGGGTGTTTGATCAAGATATGATATGATTTGAGGGTTTGCGATGTTCTTCGTGTTGGTCTGGGCTACGCGTGTTTTGCAGGGTCAGAGTGGTGCGCCCAAGTCCTCAGCCCAAAACCTTGCTGCGGGTCGCAGGGCCTAGGTGTTTAGGGAAGTCTATGCTTCAGCTGCAGATCTGCTGAAAGGCAAATGTGCTTGTGGTTATGAAGTGTCGATGCTCCAGCGTTACGTGACAGCTAGCAGTATGTGACGGCTATGTGCCCATGCACATGGCTGCACAATATGGTGCAACATGCCGAGCCGGACAACACTTGCAGGCAACATAATGTTCAAATTTTGCATGTACCAGGCCATTCTGCTGTAGAGAAGTACAAGTCTTGGTCAGAACTGTATATACGTATATGCCTGCATACACACACACACACACATATATATATATATATATATATATATATATATGTGTGTGTGTGTTTACTTGTTTATTTATTTACACCTCTATATACATACACATATGCATACACATATACATATACATATACATACACACAGATATATATATATATATATATATATATATATACGCATGCAGGGTTTCGGAACAAGCTGCGGCAAGGCCTGCAGCTATAGCCGGCAAACCCCAGTGCCGTGAGTGTAGGCACGAACAACGGTGGAGCCATAGGGTCGAGGACGACACCGAGGTCTCCAGCTTGGCATCGCCGAGCACGACTGGTGAGGTCAAAAGCGAGACGGGCAGTACACGCTGCACGCCTGGCTCATCGCCCACCACCTGCCAAAGCCCTGGACATTCTGTGTTCCCATCACTCCAGGCCCCTCTATAAGGAGGCTCAGATGGGACGAGGAAAGCATCAATGGCCAGAATGGAAGGACTCAGACGACTACGGTGGCCACTGGTCTTCCTCCTCCTGGTCCAAGTGGAGCTGGGGCAAGGATGGTGGGAAAGGAAAACAGGCCGGGAAGGGCAAGGACAAACCGACACCTCGAAGTGCAAGGGACGAACCGAACTTCCCCACCTTCGATGCCATGCCCGTCACTGGAGTGGAACGTCGAGATCCGGAATGCCGAACGACGAGAACCAAGGACACGAAGAATACTACCGTGGACCTGGTACAGGGGACGCAGCGATTGGTCAATCAGCTGCGACGTGCAGAAGCCAAGGTGCGGCGCAACGAGGAGGACAGAGAACACATTGCGGAGCAATGGAAACTGTTCCAAGCGAAGCTCAAGAAGACCTTCGTCAAGGAGAGGAACAAGTACCTGGACCTCGTCCGCAAGAACAAGGCCGAGCAGGAGGAGAACTTGACGTCCCAGGAAAATGCACTGATCGCCCTCCAAGACGTCCTGAATGGTGGTGTGGTGACGGCAGCCGTTCCGAAAGAGGAGCCCACACCGGAGGACGAGGCAGAATGGGCCAAGCTGATCTCAGAAGAGGACGCCGACGACGACATGGGCTTGGCTGGCTTCTTGCATGGAACCCTGGATGGGCAGGTGGAACTGCGGAAAGCAGCCAGACAGAAGATGCTGCAAGCGATCGCGGTGAAACGCGAGGCCCTACGACGGGACAAGGAGCCTTTCACACCGCCGAGCAGGGGGACAAAGGCTGCTGCTTTGTCACCTCCGGCATCCCGGCCGGCAGTGAGACGTGGAGACCATGGCTTGGAGGCCACGACGGGGACTGCTGCTGGGTCCTACACTGGGGAGGACAATGTGCTCAAGGACCCCTACCAGATCTCACCGTCGAACATGAGGGCACCAACACCGGGGGCACGTCAACGTTCCAGGTCCCACACAAATGGGCCAAGGCTTGGCATCAAGACGCACCTCAAAGGCCCGGTGAAGACGCTCAAGCCGGGAACCTTGGCCAAGAAATTGGCGGCCAAGAGAGCGGCGGCAATGGCTGCTGGGTCCGAGCAAGTTATCGACCTCGAGACCGAATTGGGGGCAGAGGACGACGAAAACGACATGGTGGCGGACCTCAGAACCCACCCAGAAGACCCGGGCGACGAGTAGCAGGACCTGGACCCGTACCAGGCAAGGATGGCAGTGGCTTTTTCGGCTTGTCCACTGCTGTCCCTTATGAATATTTGGGTGGAGGCCCTTGGCCTGCCCATGATTCCGACAGGGCTGTACTATCAGCCCATGATTTTGAGAACCTCAAGCGGTCTCGTGATGACACTGCTGATGTGTACATTGGTGCAAAAACCACGGCCCGGCACGGCCCCAAGGGAGGCCACGACCGAGGCGGCACAACCATTGCGGGATACCGACAAGGCTGTCCCGAGCTCTCGGTTGGCTCACCAGAACGAGCTGTACTACAGCTTCTGACCTGCTCCGGGAATGGAGACAGTGGACACTCCGATGCTGAGTGCTTGTGGGACCCACAGGGACACAGAGGCCTGTTGGACCGAAGCGGCACAACCGTTGCGGGATACCTACAAGGCTACCCTGAAGTGAGACCTAGACTGATGGAGGTACCGGACAAGCAGGCATGGACCAGATCTCGATACCGGTACTATGACATCATGGACTGGATCGACTACGTCGAGGACACAGTTGACGACTACTTTCGAAAACATGTGGAGACTATGAGGACAGTGGCGAATGGCATCGGCATGACCCTGCTTCTCGTCAGCTTCCTCTCCCTCACCATGCTGCTCTGCCCGAAGGGGGGTAGACGCACGAAAAGACAGTGTTTTACAGGACCTGCACTGGCTTGGGCAGCCTGCACCATGATCCAAGGAGCAACCGCCGTGCCCGATAATGCCCGACCAAGAATGCGAACTGGCGTGCCCCGGCCGACGGATTTGGAAACCTGGGCAGCTGGACTGCTCACTCCCCGAGAGCAGCTCGCACAGGCGGAGGCGATGTGGGCCATAGCCAGATCATTGGAACATGGCACTGGTCAGGCTAGAATGCCTACATACGAAGTCAGGGCAGAGGACCCCATCTTCGACTTTACGGAGGTTGATGTTGCTAATGTACACGTCACCTGCTGGGTAGCCACCCCCTTCTACGAGCCGGAGATCATTGACTTGGAGGTCCGCTTCCCAACGACAGTCGATCGGCTCCAAACTGCTGTTTCCGACTCCACTCGGCACATCCCCGAGTATGCCGAGGAGATCATTCCCACTGTCCCACAAGTCGACAACCACTTCGCGAGCTTTGTGGCCATGCCAAAGTGGGTGCGGGAAAGCGATAGAGTTGTGCAAGTCGTTGACGCGACAAATATTGGTGGTGGTGTCTTCGCAGCCTACCTCGACAGACCGGTTACCAGGCAGCAAGTTCTGACCACTGTGGTGGAAGGCTGGCCGGAGGGCATGGGTGTCTATGCCTATGGAAGCGACCGGCCGTGGCGCAACAACGTTGTGTACAACCCTGTCCAAGGTGGCCTCCTCAAAATCATGCGAAGAGGTAACCAGCCCAGATGGGCGGACGACCTCCAGGTGAGAACGGGGGACCCACGGCGATGGAACCCACAGGTACCTCTACCTAGCCCGGTGGCTGGACTCCACACGGTCTACCAGTCGGCGGACGACCAGGTCCTGGAGGAGATAGCGTCTGATGATGAGAGGCCCTTGGAGATTGCGGGAGGAGGCGCTGCGATATGAACATGGGGATGTCTGGATAGCCACCCCCACTGAACGGATCGAGTCCCTCACTCATCGAGGGCGACGTGTATGGGGGCAGATCGCTGTCCTAGATGGGGTCGAGCAACATGGGCCAAACGAACCAGTCATCTTCACCGACCTCCGTGGACTGGGCCTCTTTCCACAATGGACCCAGTTAGAAGGCAACATCTTCAGACCCCTTGACTACTACGACACTCTCGGAATGCCTGACCTTGAAGGATGGGCTGTCATGGTACAAGGAGGCGACCCCCAGGATGATGATACCACCATAGTGGTGCAGCCGGGTGAGGTGCTGGCTTTCCATCTGGCCAAAGACGAGGTTGTCAGGGGTGAAGGCCGTGGGGAGGAGGACGATGACAGTTCCTCTGACTCTGAGGAGGATGACTCTTCTGAGGGCGAGGACGCACTGCCAGATTCAAGTGATCTGGAGCCGCCCGATGCTGATGTCATTGGTGGCCCGCCAAGAGGCCCCCCACCCCCTCAACCTGTCAACCGCCCCAGAAGCCGAACCCCCCGGAGGAGGAATGATGCCCGGATGAGTTGTGGAAAAGACATTGAACTCGCGGCACACCTACCTCCTCCTGAATTTGACATTGGGATGCAGCAGCTACAATTGCCTACAGAGGCATCGTGCTTGGACAAACTACGACGGCCATGGGACCCGGGTTGGATGAAGCCCCTTCCCTGTGAGCCCATCTACAAATTAGAGACGGTAGAGGCGATCGCAGGTATGAAACATTGGAGTGACCTTCTTGCTGACGAGTATGACCTGCGGACAGCCGAGATCCACCTCTACTCTGATGGTTCCTGGATGGAGGAGCGACAACTCGGGGGGTATGCTGTTGCGGTAGTCCTAGTGTGTGCTGGGACCCAAGCAATCATGGGTGCGTGGGGGGAGCGCACCCAGGGTGGCACTGACCCTACTTGGTGGGCGGACTCACCGCCGGCTTTGCATAACGAGCAGATTGCCCTGGCAACAGGCCTGCTGTGGATACTCCAAAGCAGGGCCTTCCTAGGGGCTTCTGGCTACTTTCTGCACTACGACTGCCAGGTCGCAGGCAAGGCGGTGTCTGGGGTGTGGAATTATGTCAACGAGATGGGCGAAAGAAGCCGACTGCTTGAAATGTACCTGCAGGAGTTGATACACGTCCCCATTGCCACCATGCACGTGAAGGCCCACCAAGGTGATCCCTTTAATGAGTTGGTGGATGTCCTGTCAAAGGAGGCTGCGAAAGGATCCATACAGCTGCCAGCCCCGCCTCGGGACACATGTGCTGCATTCAGGGAGATTGACATGACATGGATGGCCGCATCCTGTCATGCGAGACGATGGAGCACCCTCCCCATCACCCCGCAAGGAAACCTCTTCTGGAGCTACCTCAGGAAGGAAGAAAAGTCCCACCTACAACCAGAGCAGCTCATCCCTACACAACCAGGACCTGGCACGGACGATCGGTTGGGAGCTGGTTTCGCGCTAAAGGCAGTGACGCTGAACGCGCAAAGCCTGAAGGGTAAGCACAAGTTCTACGAGGCCCAAATGATAGAGCAACAATGCCACCTGGCATTCCTCCAGGAGACCAAGGGTAAAGCCGGTGTTTGTGAAAGCAAAGATTTCCTGAGGTTGTCTACGGATGGTCTGTCACACTGGGGGGTTGACATCTGGATAAACAAACGACTCGGACTCTGCACATACCAAGGGCGACCACTGGTCGTGACGGAGGACGATGTCCAGGTGATTTATGAGTCCCCTCGATTGCTGACCCTTTCTGTCGACATCGGGGGCAGAACGATTGTCCTCGTTTCAGGCCACGCCCCCCATTCGGCTCGTATTGAGGAGGCGAAGGTCTTCTTCGAGGACCTTCAACAGAGCATCAAGCTTCTGGCAAAGGCCAGTCTCATTGTTATGGGCCTGGACTTAAACGGCCGCATCCCGCTTGAGGTGCCGGGGATCACTGGTAGCCGGAGATGTGGCGAACCTGATGGAATCGGTGGAATGATGTTGTCAGTGGCCCGAAGCTGCCATCTGTGGTTCCCATCCACATATGATGAACTGCATCAAGGACCCGACGCCACATATCACCAGCCTGCCGGTGAGGATAAGATGGGACACCGCATCGATTACCTTGTCCTTGGTGGGGTGGCTGTGCTGACGGAGGTGGCCAGTCAAGTGCTGGACTCCTTCGACACCTTAGCGCCCAGTGTAGACCATGAGGCCGTGATGGTGGATTTCAGTGGTGTGCTGGATGGCCCACCACAAAGGTCCCAAGTTTGGAAGCCCAAGTATGATGTCGAGAAGATTTTGACAGATGCAGGCCGGAAAGCTGTCGAGGAGGCCATGTGGGATTATGTCCCCCCTCGATGGGAGGTGCACCCCACTGACCACTACGAGCACTTTCGACAGCATGTCCATTGCATCCTCAGGGACAACTTCGCACTGAATGCCGAGGACAAGCGGGCCGACTACATCTCTGACAGGGTGTGGGCAATTCGGACGACCAAGCTTGACCTCAAGCGTCGGGCCCGACACCGACGCGGACTGTGGCAGGACCTAGCTGACAGAGCCTTCCTCCAATGGGCTACTGGAGTTGACCATGCGGTATGCCTCCTGATTGAAAAGCACCTGCTACTCTATGAGCTGGTGGCGGCTGCGATTCAGTTTGCTACGTCGCGACTCAAACAGGGTATCAGGCAGGACAAAGCCCACTACCTCCGCAACCTGGCGGTGACGAATGGCACTGCCTTCAAGGATGTGGCGACTGTGGCCAAGAAAGCCGGCTTGGGAGGAAGAGCAGCGAGGACGCCCTGGAGACCAATGCCGACACTGAAGGATTCCACCGGAGCTGCAGCAGCCACACGTCAGGCAAAGGATGCAGTTTGGATGGAACACTTTGGACGGCAGGAGTGTGGACACATCATTCCCACCACGGAGCTGATACGAGGAGACTCTACCACGATCGCGATTGATGGCGACTGGGAGTGGAAGCTCTCGGACGTGCCCACTATCCTCGAGCTTGAAAACGCCCTTCGTCGGGCGCCGAGGAGGAAGGCCGTTGGACTGGACGGAATACCGGGAGAATTTCTCCTGGCGAATCCACCCGCCACAGCCAGAGCACTCTATGCTCTGACAGCAAAGGCGGCCCTACGCATGTGTCAACCACTTCACTGGAGAGGAGGAGTGCTTCAGGAGTGCTGGAAGCGATCTGGATCGAAGGAGAATGTTGACAGCTATCGGTCACTCTATATCTCCTCGCTCCCGGCCAAGTGTGTTCACCGCATGCTTCGGGATAGAGCTGGACAGTGCATTGAGGAGGGCTTGCACAGTTTTCAGCTAGGGGCTCGCAAGCAAGCACCGGTGCTACTGCCTGCACTCTACATACAGGCATTCCTTCGATGGACCAAGCGCGTCAACCACAGCGTCGCAATCCTCTTTGTTGATTTCCAAAGCGCCTACTACAAGGTGGTCAGAGAACTGGCGGTTGGGGACATTGAACCTGAGAGTGACGAAGCTGTGGCAAAGATCTTTAAGACCTTCGGCCTCCCCCCGGAGGACGTTGCAAACCTCTACCAAACTATCCGAAGTGGAGGTATGCTGGCTGATGCCGGGCTCCCACCAGCACTTCGACATCAGGCTAAAGACATGCTCCACCGGTCGTGGTTTATCACGAGGCACGGAGGCAGCGAGCAGGTCAATGTCACCAGTGCTGGCTCCCGACCAGGGTCCAGCTGGGCAGACATCATCTATGCCTTTGTTCTGGGACGACTCTTGACCATCCTACGGGAACATGCTGCTGCAGAGGACTTGCTGACGACTCTGTCTGTTGACCTTGAAGGCGGCCCGATGGGAGACCCTCAGGATGGCGTGCCGATCGAGGCCCGGGGCAGTGTATGGGCAGATGATTGTTCACTGCCCTTGAGTGATCCGGACCCGTTGAGGCTACTTTCCAAGGCGAGACGAGCGTGTGAACTATTGATCGAGTTCTCGCTGGCCCACGGTATGTCTCCCAATTTGAAGCCGAAGAAGACGGCCATCATTCTGGCCCTTAGGGGCAAGGGTGCCCACCAGGCCAGAAAGGCTGAATTTGCTGACGGTCGCAACGTTCTACGCCTACCTGAACTGGGGTTGGAAGTACAGGTGGCCCCCTCTTACGTCCACCTTGGTGGCTTGGTCGAGCCGGAGGTGAAGATGGTTGCGGAGGCCCGACGGAGGCTTGGGATGGCCAAGACGGCTTTTGATGCTGGCCGGAACCTCCTCTACTGCAATACCACCATCCCCATTGAGACTCGGTCGGCGCTCTTCCGCATGTCCATTACGGCCACATGCTTCAACCTTGCTTTGTGGATTCCAAGTGGCAGGGCATGGGAGATCCTTGATGGAGGATTCACCCGTATACTCAAAGGCCTCCTGGCGAAGACCTACAAGGGAGAGGAGTACCACAAGCTCGCGGCCCCAATGGTCCACATCTTGACCCAGACCCCGGACCTTGCCCTCCTTGCCAGACGTGCCCGTCTCAGCCTACTCATCTCCCTCTGCCGCACTGCCCCTCCGGTCCTGTGGGCGGTACTGCAGAGCGAAAGGAGCTGGACTGACACAGTCATCGCCGACATGGAATGGCTTCGGACAGACAGCGAAGTTTGGCCTGCCACAGATCCGCAGCATTGGCCCGAATGGCACAACATCCTGACCAGATCCACGGCATGGGTCAAACGCCGGATTGCCAAAAAGGCGGCGGATGAGTACGACAAATTCTGCGAGGTCCAGCGGACTAACCTGGCCCTCTGGGGACTTTACCGCCAAGCCTGCAGGGCCTTTCCTCAAAAGGCCTGTGCTACTATGCCATGGGTGTGCAGGATGTGTGCCAAATCCATGAAGACGAAAGCGGCACTCGGTGCACACTTCTTCAAAGTGCATGGTCGGAAGGCAGCTTACCGCCAACATGGTGGAGGCACGATCTGCAGGTCCTGCAACCGCGACTACAGGTCCCGCACCAAGCTTATGGTGCACCTGCGGGACACTCCGAAGTGTGTGGCGGTCTTAGCTACGATGGAGCCGAATGCCACCCCTTTCATTCCTGGCTTGGGAAGCCGTGGCTGGAGGGAGGCGGCTGAGAAGGACTACACTCCAGCCTTGCCGGCCAGAGTTTCGGAGGCTCTCCCACCGGCTGGCGAGACAAAGTGGCCACCTGCGGTCCGTCGGGCATATGCAGATGTATGTGAACACCTGCTTGTGAAGGAGGACGGTGTCAGTATCGCGGTATACCGGGATCGAGTACTACGTGTACTGGATGGCTACCCCCTCTACTTTGAGGAGGCCCTGGAGATCCTGGAGACCGTGGAAGCTGACCTGGTCACCATCTGCGACAACGATCTCAATGAGTACTGGACAACGTCCGGGCTGTCAAATCTCCGAGAATCGTTGAAAGAGATCACCCCGGATCTCTGGAGTGGGGGAATTGTCGAGCATGACGACCACCTGCCTCAGGAGTCACTTCGCTCCTTTGCGGCAAGGCTTGCCAGTTTGGACTGGAAAGACATCCTCCCCCCGAAGTGCTACGAGACCCATGACGACAGCTCTGTACTCCTGGACGACGACTGGGAAGTCGCGTGGCGTCGATCCAGTGAGCTGCCCAAACGCGCGACCGTAGTTGATTACTGGAGATTGGTTCCTGGCCCCTTGCAGGTAGCATGGGACGAGCTTCTAAAAGGGAGGCGACCCCACGTACAGGCACCTGCGGCCTTCTGGGAACATCCACTCTCAAAGCCCTTTCTTTCATGTAGGGCACCGCTTGCACCTAATTAAGCCGCGTATCGACCTCTGAAAGCCCGCAACAACAATATACGCATGCATGCATACATGTGGCTTCTCCGAAGTCTTGGCCTCAAATAACAGCCTTTCCCCACCCTTAGCCCAGCTTCAAATCGCCAGGCCCACCTAAAAAACGCACACTCTTAACATCCAAAGTGCATAATATTTAAATAGTAGACTGTAGGGTTTCTACATTAGAAATTGCTAGTATGATTTGGGGAGTTATCCCCCAGTACATTACCTAACACTCTTTTGATTTGGGTATTCATACGAGAATTCTGAGGCCTGGGAACTTCGAGGGCACGGCGACCGCTGCGTCGCGAAGGATGCAGCACAGGCGCCACGGACTGTACCGTTTTATATAGTGTCAGGGATATATTGCGAATGCGTTTTGTGTCTAGTCGTAGTGTTTTTGGTTTACAGACGTATACTGCGTGACGGAGTTCCGCACTGCATCTCCAGGGGCCGACATAAGAGGACCGGAGTGGGGCTTTAGGTATGTGAAGGACAATTGCTATAAAGTTTCCGCCCTCATAGTATGTGCTAGCCACCGTGATCACTCCTGGCGTAGGCTGAGAATGGAGAACACCCTGTGTCCACAGCAACCCTGAAGCACCAAACCTTGCACTGGTCCTCGAGGCTGTGCGATACTACGAGTGGGCGCCGGGGGCTTGGTGCAATCGGCAGGAAAAGCCTTCTCCACTTCAGGGGTCAGACCCGCGAGCACTGTATATGTGCGAGGGTATCCACTTTTGTCGAGTCCTCTTACTCTGCGCCACCTTCGAGTAACTCGTGTGTAGCTCGCATCCGTGCTTTGGTGGAAGTTCTGATTGCGGGTCTGCAAATATGTCAAAGGATAGACACACGACCAGGCCCACTGAACAGAGTTTAGAGGTTAAAGTTTAGGGTCCTGCTGAAGAATACTTCCATGTCGCCTCACCTGCCACAATTTTCCCAGAACAAACACCAACGGAGTCTGTGGCCAGCGTCAATCAGGCTCCACGGGGCCCCATAAAGCATCAAACAGTGAAGCACGGAGTGGAGGAAAGGGCGCATGTCAACTTCAAAAAAAACACGATCGACTTCGCTGAAGCTGCACCTGACCCTGGACGCCTCAAGGCCTTTAAGCCTTAACCCTTGCCTTGTTTGGCTATTCAGGCTGCCGTTGGCCGGGACCCCATAAACAGTGAAATCCTAACCCTCCTGACATAGACTTAAGCTGCACCTTCAGCGCTGAGGCTGGATGTCTTGCGTCCGGTGCCAGTGGAGCACGCCGGCCCAAGCAGGCTGCGTGCCGTCAGCCCACATCGCTTTCTGACAAAGGAAGCACGCGGCGCAAGGTGTAAGGTGCCAGGGCGCAACCTTCAGGTACTTGGGATAGGCTTGTAGTAATGTAGCTTAGCTAACATTGGGGGGGGGGGGGTATATCGCGGTTATACGTATTCGGATCCTTAGGGTGTATATGGTTCACAGCATGTAATATGTAAGACAGACACTTCAGGACTTGCGATCATTCGCACATCCCCTGCTGACACTACACGATCACATCCCGAAAGACTGGAGGACTCCTCTATATTCGGAAGGTAGGTGCAACGAACCGGGCAGAGGAGACGCTCCACGGATCTTCCAAGCCTGCTACACGATGGCTGGGTTTTGAGTTTAGGGTTCCAATTCCGTGGATGATGGCTCGGGGATTCAATAAGGAATCACGGCGGTGCTGTTGCTTCAGGAGTTTCTAGGTAGAGGTGCACGTTCCAGTCCAGTGCCCACCTGCCTTCAGGTGTGCGTTGTTGGTGAAGCTCGCCCGCGATGGCCTGAGTCCACACGGGGTAGGTCCTGAGAGCTTATCACACACTCTGGCTCTCTCTCTCTCTCTCTCTCTCTCTCTCTCTCTCTCTCTCTCTCTCTCTCTCTCTCTCTCTCTCTCTCTCTCTCTCTCTATATATATATATATGCATATGTACATGGACTCGGGGTACTTGCACACATGTACACCGATGCATGAGCCCATTTGTCGTCACGTTATCATTTGTTATCGCGGCCAGGACTTGATAGGCACAGTCCGAGTTGCACCCAGATCGCAGCCGTCAAGCCACAGACCATCGACCATGATACAGGAGCCTCAATAAGTCGAAACGGGTTCTGGAACTGGAGAGTATGATTGCTATAGCAGTAGGTTTGGTCTAAGTAATATACATGTATGTATGTATATATATATATACATGCTTATGTATTTATACATGCATTGACATACACAGGCAAGCACACCAAAATATTTAGTCAAATAAGATATACATACATATATGCATATGTACAGTTGAGTTGCCATCCTCCGTGAGTACGAGGCTGCCACCTGCAGGATGACCGAAGATTTGCAGCCGATCCCGTGCGATGCTTGCAGCGAGCTTACGATAGCCTGGTTTCATAACTGCACCCCAACAGTATGTAGAATAAGGCCATTATTCTACCTACTTTTGGGGGTTTAGGTATTCATAGGACATGGAGCCGGCCGCAAGCGTCGTCCGCAGTGGCGAGCCCTAGACTTCGAGAGAAGCTTTACAGTGAACAACAGTTCACATGGATTGCCTAGACCCCCAAAAGTAAGTAAAATAATGGCCCAACACCTATAAAAGACGATTATTCTACATACTTTTGGGGTCCAGGTGCACTTAGCAGCTAGTGGATCCCGTTGTTTCCTCGATCCCATTGAACCTATAAATGCAGACCTGCACTGCCTCAAACCCCGGCAGCCTCACCGACATCCCACGCCCTAAACTCCTAAATACATGAAGACGCAAACATGAGTTTCTGCTTAACTCAAAAACAGAAATCGATCGACAGGAATTGGGATGGTTTGGCGATGAGTCGAGCGGGTTGTTGCATATTGGAGGCATATACACACATACATATATATATATATATATATATATATGTGTGTGTGTGTGTGTATTTCTTGTAAACAGACCCCCAGACCCTATTCCACCTCGCAAGGCCCCTATAATCAGTTTTGTAGTCTGAAGGAAGTAGTCCTCGAGGTTGCAAGAAGGGTCGAGGGCAGGGCGGAGTCTGATCACAGTGTTTCTTGTTCAGCTCCTTCGGGGAAGTTACAAAGCACACTTTTCGCTCCCAAAACAAGCCTCTAAAACCTAGTTCTGCGTGCCAAACTGGCATCCCGCAGAACTCTGAATCATCATCGTTCAGTTTGTCCTGTTCTGCTTTGAAGACCTCCGGATGTGGGTATAAGGCTTAGCCGGGGTTGAAGAAGGAAAGCTAGAAACAGCTTGAACGCTACAGGGGCCTGCATAAATCGAATCGAGTGTTGTGGTTGATTATCGTACATGCTAAGACCGGGAATGTGTAGCGGGATACCCTAAACCCCAATTACACCTACATCAGCCTCCGCCTCTCACGGCAAGAGTTTCAGCCTCTGAACTTTGCAGCGGCCCAGGCAATACTTGGAGCAGGTCAAGGACAGCTAAACCTGGCAAGAGTAGTAATGAACATTATCCCTTCCTAATTTTCATCCAATATAACTACACCTCAACAACCTCCGAATCCTATATATTCGATATAGCAACCCTATATACTACCGTCGCAAGGTGATTTTTTTTGCTCGGCTCTGCTCCAATATAAGGGTCCAACTTGTCATGCCACATGCACGCCCAAATGCACAAGGCCTTTATTCCCTAAACCCCTAAGTGTTCGAGTGGGAGCACCGAAAACCCTAACCTGTGACACCCTAAACCCTAAACCTCTGACCCCAAAACCGAAGTGTCTGGTACATTGAGACCCTGAAGGGATGGTGGGGAAAGCTCGCGGAGGGCTCGTTGCTTTCAGGGTACATGTTTTAGTTCAGGACTTTAGTCGTGGCGAGTGGGTATCATTTGTATGCTGCCCGGGCCCTGGGCTCAATTTCCTTCATTCAGCCTTCGGCGAAAGCAGCTTTAATCAGGAGAACGACGTGAATGGCAGCTGGCAGGCACCGCTGGCAACAAGCTCTTGGCTGAGTGGTTGGAGTGTGCACTTCCTTGCAACGTCGTAGTATTGCAGACGTGAACGTGGCGGTGACAGACACGAATGACTCAGTTGCTGTTTTTTTCGCTGTTTTCTCAGTCTGTTCCACGAGCCACACATGTGCGACTGTACTGGCAAGAAAAGCCTTGTCGAGGTGCTGAAGCTGCTCGAGCCTGATTAGAGGGAGGGGCTTTGGTTTCATATGGGTGTTTCCGAAAGTAGGGGTACCTTATTTTGGGGTCCTTATAATAAGGATCCTGCTATATTACGGTGCTAGATTAGGGTCCCCCAGTTTCGGAAACTCCCATATGAACGGGCCCAGTGCAATCCCTCTTGGGTTGTATTGGTAAGACGGTCGTCGAGGGTCATGTAATTAACGTAGGAGCCTAAGAAGCCCATGATGTACAGGGTCGCTCCCTGGGTTTCCATGGGACGCAGAGATGTGAGTTCATGTGCAGGCGGAGTCAAAGAAACTTCGTGAACAGGCCTTGGCCGCAACCTCGGTGAAGCCAAAGCAATCGGCGCCGTGGGGTGAGGTGAGTCCTAGACAGTGACAGGGAGCGGCAATAAGGTTACACAACCGCACCTCCCCAACCCTGCATACAGCCTAAAACACAGGGAACGCGATCTTTGAATTTTTGACCCTGTGCAAGATAGGGTTGTCCAGGTGTAAAAGGATTCAGGGGTGCGGGGTGAAGGGCAGCTTGTCAGGCCAGCATGGAACGTTGACTCTCGCCGAGGGTCCGAGGGAGTTGTCAAAAAAGGACCAAAGGAGAGGATTGCGTAAGGAAGGAGGGAGAGACCACAAGCATATCGACGACTGACTGACGATGCTTCGGAGCTTTCAACACTCGCTCCGGTTCTCTGTAATATCTCCTTGTGGAGGCAAGACATATTTGCGAATAATATCTTGGCAAGCATAATATCGACGACGACTGATTGTAGGCAGATCATATTCCGCCATTTTGGCGAACACACGAGGTGAAGGATGAAATATCTGGGTGGCTGATCTCCTGTGTCTGAGTCGGAACTAGGTCCACGTTAGCTTGGCATGTATGGGCCCAGTTCTGAAAGTAGCTCGCAAATCTCCGAACGTGGACGCCTTGGCTCAAGTCACCAAACGGTTGGCTCGAGATGCAATGCAGACGTGAAAGTAAAACGTTTTGCTTTACCCGGGCTTCGTAGGGCCGTGCACCCCTGCTAGCATACCTGACTTCGTCAGAAATCAACACTCGTCACTATTTGTGCGTGATCCCCGCCTTTGGGACTAATAACCTAGGGATTATCCAGGACACCCTCCAAGCTGTAAGCACACCCCCCGAAACTGGCGAGACAACAACGGACAATAATGGTGCCGTCCTTTGGCAATAACTTTTTCGTTAATATTCAATTTGTTTCATACACGGCGCGCCCGGTGTTCACTCTTTCAGCAATGCGGGCAACCGCTTTCGGTCAATATGCTTCAATATTCCTGGTGGGTTCTACACCGATCTGCAGACGGCCCGCATGGAACAGACCCGCGGTCAGGTTTACATTTAAGGGCGTTTACAGCGGTTCACATGGTCTTGATACGATTCATGGCCTCATGTCAAGACCCCCGTTTTACCGTTGCTTTTCGTTCTAAGTATGAGAGTCTAAGGTGTCGGCATTTGCTTTTCCTCGTGAGCATGAGAGTGATCTCTGGGTTAACTCCTTTCGTCGTTTTCTGCCTGGCCCCATGAACCCTCCTTAGCTGCCCCCACTCAGGTATGCTACTGCAGTCTGGGGTTATACGGGGCCTTCTACGGGCAGGGAAGCCCAAACCTGAGATTGCTAGAACCAGCCAATGCATCAACGACCAGGTCTTGGGTGGCCAGCCGGCGGGACTAGGTCCTCCTTTGCACGCTTGCTGTGCTAATGTCTGCATAGGTATTCATCGTATCTATCCATTTGTAGCCGCATTGCAGTTAAAAGTGATATCTTTCCTTGAATTTGTTGGATGGCTTCAAGCAGAGTTTTGTTCAATCCCAGTCCCAGATGCTAGCTAATCCCCAAACCGAAAATCTGCAAAATAATCCTTGCAGAACCGCATGCTTTTGGCACAAGACTACACAGAAGCCGATTAACCCTACCTTGCACAGCAAACTTACAAGCACTTGGATTCTGTCAGTTCGAAACCTGTATATAAACTCCAATGTACGCCCCAAACCATCCCAGACCTTGCGGAGCCATGGGAACCTCATGGCTGGATGATGTTTTGATGCTTTGCGGCTTCAGGGTTTAGTTTTTCAATTTTTGGGGATTTTATGTTTAGGGGTCTGAAGGTTTGTTTGAAGAGCTTTTTGGAAAGAACTTCCCAGCTTGCCCAGTCCCCTTAACAAGGCAAAGCGCCGTGCGAGAGAACCCTCCAAACTGAAACGTAAGTTTATAAGCAACCAGGCATTGTCCACTGGGATCAAGAACCTTGCCGCTCTGTGCTCTACAGGTTCAGAAACTTATATAGGACCACGGCTTCTGACACGGGCTTGTGCTGGCAGGAGCAGCCAAAGTTGACGAGAGCAAGCGGCAGGCACGAAGCCCGAAATCCAGCTACCAAATGTCCTGAGCCGTCAAGTGGCCCACAACAGCACCACTAGTCAAGTCCGAATTAAATTCGGGCATAGGATCTTGTGGCTGAGGGGTTCGAGGGCAAAGCAGTCCTTTTGATATCGGTTTTGGGGTCTGTGCGGCCCAAGCCCGGGGCTTTACCTCCCATGCCAGGAAGGTCGGTTCAACGCGGCGGTTTTGAGTAGGGCTTCGAGGCTAGGCTTTAATTAGGGTTGGGGTTCCGGGTTCCTTTCGATTGTGATGTGCAGAAATGAGGGACAAGTCTTTAAATGATAGGCAGCAAGTAATGCAGGTACCAGAATACATGCTAATAGTATCCCCTTGTAACGTAGCCCGCTGAACAATAGCAGGCACAAAAGAACTCATTGTACTTCTTACAGGCCCCGGTATGTACATATGTGTATGCATATACATAAACACACGTTATACACGCATACATATATATATATATATATATATATATGGGCGCACCCCTATTTGGGGTCCCCTACGTTTTTCGCTATACCATCTGACTCGGTTATAACCACCAGACTAGGTTATAACCAGCCGACTAGGTTATAATCAGGTGTACGTCATCGACTACAGTATTGTATCTGGTTTGAAGACCATGTTTTCAGAATGCTGAAACCCGCACAACGCTAAGAATTCTATGACACCTTCGTCGAAACCCTGTTACAATGTGCTAAAAACCTTGCTTTGAAGCTGTCGATATATCTTCGTAGTTCATGTTTGTGTCACTGTATCTAAACCGCTGTATTTCAGTTTTTTCCAACAAGCGCGCTGTAGTCATTAGTCTGGTTCAGTCATTCCTTATCGGATTTTTGCAACGAAAAGTTTTCCATCTTTGTACTGTAATGCCGCCATCCCACCAAAGTCGCTGTTGTTGGACGCATTGCTATAACGTTTTGGCAAACTGATAGCTTTCAGTGACATATCCCCCCCCTGTGCCCCCATGTGATTGCTTTTAAACACTGATATATCCGGTAGGTGTATTTGAGTGGTGCACTCCTTAATTCTGTATGACGGCTGCCCCAAGCCAAAATTGAAAACTTGCATACTACAAGCTTAGCAAAGGTTGTATAGTGTTTTTCCTGGGGGACGACATGAAGCGTCGCTTCTTAGGCTTGGCACTGTTTCTATATGCTGAGTGATGAAGCCTGTGCTTCTTGTATCCGCATACCTTAACCATCACGTAAAGCCGACTGAAAACCATAAGGCTACATCTAGCTTGTCCGAATTTCTGTTTGTGTTCTTGTGAATATTTACTGAAAGTCGAATAGAAGCCATTGTTCCCAGTCCAGAACGTGATCCTCGTGTACTCCTCGAAAGAGGTTCATCCATGTAGTTGGAAATAGCATTGCGAGGAATTTTCTACGTACCGAGCGAGGAAACCTAACAGTTTAAGTCGCAAATTTGTTTCGCTCACCACACATATTCTTATCAGTTTTGTCTCGTCGAAACCCGGCTTCCTTGGAACGATGTTTGAACATAACGTTGCAACCAGTTCGCCTATGTACGAAGTGATGAAACCTGACCACGCTGTAGAAATTGAAATACTCTCTCTCCCTACAATGACGTCGTATCAGCCGTATCTCAACTTTCCGTGTACCGTGATATTCCAATGTTGACAACACTTACTGACCTACTGTAATCCCGATAGAGCCCCTTCATATTCCGCATTTTGATTCCTGCGTGAGTGACATGTTAGCGGCTATTCTCTCAATGTGTACATAGATCTCATGAACGCGATGTACTGGAACGGACAGACCATTGTGTAAAGTCCGCCATATAGCCTTTCCGCTAAAGTTGGGGAATGCGCATATGGTCCCCGGAATTATGGTTGTTACAAAGCACTGCATCATGCCTCAACAACCGAATACACGCCAATTACCTCGGACCCTCTATTCTTCTAGTCCTTGTTTAATGTCATTGCGGTTACATTCACCCCGAAACTTTCGAACGTTTGGATTTAGGTGTTGATGAAGTACTGTAGCGGTGGCACAGGCCTGGTTATAACCTCTGTCCCCGGTTATAACCAGGACACTTGCGTAGTAGGCAGCCCTAGACCCATCACTAAACCGTTAAACCATTAACAAACCGTTAAATTAGTACACCGTTAAACAAATCCTTTGCCCCAATGGACCCAAACCAATAAACCACTAAACCATTAAACCAATCCTTTTGCCCCATACCACTAAACCATTAAACCATTAAACCAATCCCCTTACCCCATACCACTAAACCATTAAACCATTAAACCAATCCATTCCCCCAATGCACCTAAACCACTAAACCATTAAACCATTAAACCAATGCTTTTGGCCCATACAGGGTTGTGTCTCTCTCTATAGGGGCAAATGATTGGTTTAATGGTTTAATGGTTTAGTGGTATGGGGCAAAAGGATGGGCTCAATGGTTTAATGGTTTATTGTTTTGGGTCCATTGGGGGAAAGGATTGGTTTAATGGTCTAATGGTTTATTGGTTTGGGTCCACTGGGGGAAAGGATTGGTTTAATGGTTTAATGGTTTATTGGTTTGGGTCCATTGGGGGAAAGGATTGGTTTAATGGTTTAATGGCTTATTGGTTTGGGTCCATTGGGGGAAAGGATTGGTTTAATGGTTTAATGGTTTATTGGTTTGGGTCCACTGGGGGAAAGGATTGGCTTACTGGTTTAATGGTTTAGGTGTGCAAAAACCCAGGGGACCCCATATAGGGGGGTACCCATATATATATATATATATATATATATATATATATACATATATATATATATAGATGATTATAGTTCCATATGTTGGTCATATTTGTTATTTGTTGTACATATTGCCTATACCTAAATATATATATATATATATATATATATGTATATATATATACACATATATATATATATGTGAGCCGCCAAGTCTTATATGTTTAAAGTTTATAAAGGCTTAGCTTAATCGCGAAATTGAAATAGGCCAGCGAACCTCATTTGGACCTCATCCTCAGGGACTGTGGGGCTTCTTCCGGTCCAGGGTATTTGGGTATGGGAAACTCCTTGGCAGCGACACCCTAAACCCTAAACACCTAAACCCTTAACCCTTGAACTTTGAACCCCTCAACCCCTAAACCCTAAACCCCAAAGAACATGGTAGTCTTCTAGCAATACCCACTGTGACCAAAACTCACTCACATAAGAGATTTCACTCGTCTGGCTCCGCCAAGAGTCCTAAACCCTAGACCCGAAAGCATATTATTAAGCTCATCACACGATTACACTAATTTCCTAAGACTTCCTAGATCTTAGACCCTGAAAGTTCAGGAGACGGCTGCTCGTGTCGCTGCTGCGTGTGGATCTCGGTTTCTTTGGTCGCTAGCTCGGGGATTTGCGCGGTCCGCCCTAACCCAGCCGGCTTGATTGATGGAAAAGCGTAATGGTGGGGCACATGTTAGTCTATGCAAAAACAGGAACCCTAAAGAATGCCCTTGGTAATTCTTCCGACCCGTTAATTACGTGCAGTCAGAAAGATAAGTCTGATGGAATCGCAGGCGGGCAGACAAGCCTAAACCCTTTACTTTACT